CAGTTTGACAATTATGAGGTGCACCTCTCTGATGTCCTCTAACTCTTTCAATTTATTTTGTCATTTCTATTTTCTTTAATAATAGTTTGAAATATCTATGTATTTTTTTTATACCTATAATATAATCAAAATTTGATGTTATGTTCTATTCTAAGTTGACTTATTTTTTTATTTTCTTTTGTTTTTTTCCATATTTATGATTGATCTTAGTAAAAGAAACCTAAGTTCAGTTAAACTGTTATGTCGAAGTAAAGAGGTTACTCACTATTTTCGAGATACATTTCACATAGATATGAATGGTAGTACCAATATCTGTAGATGATACTTTTTATTTTACTTTATAAAAAATTTACCCCTTTTAGTCAAATAAATTACATTACTTATGACAAATATAACTTTATATTATATCTCCCTCTGTCTCTCATTTTTTACTCACTTATGACAAATAATTTTAAAATTTATTCTTCCATCAAAATTAGAGTACTGCAAGTTCTCTATGCATAATTATATATATAATTATTTATTTATCTGTAAAGAATAATCTAATTATTATTTTAATAATAGGTCATACATAAAAGTGAGAAAATTTAATTATAGGCAATTAATGTAGTTATGGAAGGAAAAGATTTTTCACTTCCAAGCTATGTTACTTCATATGTGTGTGTGTGTGTGTCTGTTTATGTGTGTGTGTTAATATTATGACACGAATGCAAACTCTGGGGTGTTGTAGAAAATAATATAAAGTTTTCTTATCCAAAGAATTATGTTACTTACAAAGGAAGAAAATAACAAAAAAAGATAAAAAAAAAAAATTGATAATTGGAATGAAAAATTCACGCTAAATAATTATTTATAAAAATGAATCGTCATAAAAAATAATTATATTTTGTTGTTTGATTTATATTCATAAGGATTAAAAAATTAATTTAAAATTTATTTGACCATGAGAATTGGAGCGCAATCTTCCAATGCGTAATAATATATTTATTTTTGTATAATAAAAGATTATAATTATTATTTCAATGAGTGATCATATGTAGAAGGTGACATAACTTATTTCTCGTATTTAATGTATTTTCTAAAAGACTTTTTCCCTCAAAGTTATTTCACTTATTTAGTTATATATATATATATATATATATATATTCAAATATAAATATAAAATAAATAATTTCGTACAATATTAAGTCTTTATTTGTAACAATATCATTAACGAAGGGAGAGGGAGAGAGAGAGAGAG